ATTGTTTTTTTAAATTTAACTAATGCAAAATTGTAAAAGATTGTTTTTCTCATCTTGGCGAAGATTAGACGATGTTCAGAAACAATGTGTAGAATTGTTCCTTTAATTCTTTTGCAAAACGGTTTGATGGATCGATTTAAAAATTAGCAGGGCTGTGGGGAATACTTTGAGCTGTAAAAACACCCTAAATCATTCGTCTCCCCATCAATATTAGAAGAATCTTGTAAGACATTTATTTCAGTTTTTGACACTACTCTTTTATTCTCTGTGTGGTCATTGGTTGCTAAGATATCTCAGCGACAAATTGACGAAAAGAGAATATGAAGAAAGCATATTAAAGGTACACAAACATGCTATCCGGCCTATGCATTGACTTAACTACAAATAAATTCCCCACGACCTTGGACCAAAAACAAAAACATAAAAATTTAGTATTTTTTTTTCTCGCGCTATTACTTAGAATTGCGTGATAACTGTAGCACATAAAAAATATTTGACAAAAGATCTCAAAACTAGAAACTTAAGCTTGAATTTTTTTTTAATCTAGGTTTGACCATTTTTCGATGAGGAAAATTTTTGGTACCTTTAATTTTTTGGAGTAGGTTAGATTTTCCGTTATTGAAGTTACTTCAATAAACAATTATTAGGTTAGCACCTCAAAATATAAAGAGTAAACGTTCACATCATCTCTGTTTGTTCATCTATTTGCTGCTAAATGAAAGTCATAGAATTGGGTAAAAAATTTGAATATTTGATCCCCACATCATCTCCACATGTAACTAAACTAGAGACAGAGCATTTAAAATTTTTATTTACATTATGGTAAATTAAGTTATTGTGAATTAAAGGAATATTGAACAATAATGAGCTAAGTGTTTTGAAGCCAATTGTTAAAGAGTATCAATTATGATTTAGGTATAAAAATAATTTAGTAATTGTATTGTATGTATTGGTATAGCACCGTATAGAGAAAAAATTAAAAATTTTACAATCCGTTTACCATCAGGGTAAAAAATTAACAATGCATGCAAATGGCAGACGACTGGCTACACATTTTAATAAAACTTCAAATTGTGATTTTCATTCAGCTTTGTTATTTTTTGACATTCAGAAAAATTTACCTCTAATCGTACACTGAGTGATTTTTCATTATTTAAATGATGTTTCCTTAACAGTAAGCAAATTTCTAACAAAAATTGTTAAAATTGTTTTAAAAACATATAAACTGTACTCGTTTTCTACACAGTTTTTAAAGAAAAGTTGAGTAATAAGTCAAAACGAAGTTATAGATATTGACGGTGTTGTAAAATCGAGGCACCAGCCCAACTTTTTTTCTCTAAATGAGAAAGGTACTTCAAGTGAAATATCTAGTAGATGTTAAAATGAGGCAAATCACACAGGAAATGTCAAGGGAAATGGTGTTACATCAAAATAGAACATTCTGCATAAAAAATGACTTAATTATGTTAAGGTGATTTTTAAATTTTTTTTTGTGCTACAGCAATAGATGAAAAATACCCTGCATGTAAATTTTTGGAATAAATAATTGAAAAAATAATTTTTACTTAAAACTCACTAATTACGACTTCGGTGCTATATTGGTAAAGGTTGGATATATTGAAGTTACAATTACCAACACAAAAGATCAGTAATTCCAATTTTGGTACAATTAAAAACTGCAATTACCGTTAAGTGCCACTTCCATTTGAGAGGGAGAGAAGTTTCAGGCTTTTATACAATACGAGAGATAGTTGTTAACCCTAACTTTAATTCGGTCCACGCTAAAGGAATAGCTTCCACTTTGAAATATGAGGATGAACAGAAATTTTTACTAATCATGCACTCGTAATTAAAGTTCAGTGGAAAGAAAATAATCGGTATTTAACAAAATGTTGATTGGCGTTTCTGTGGGTGCAAAATTACGAATTTAAATTTCTCTTTCCCGTGTGGTAACGCTTTCCAATAAAATCCTATCCAATGAAAAGACAATTCGAAAATAACTATTCTCCGGTAATTTAAAAGTCAAAATCTTGGTTTAGCAAGTTATATGCTTTACACAGATAATAGTTATTTATTCGACGAGTTAAATAACTATAATTCACACTAATGTGATCGTAAATTAATTATTATAGTAATAATTACTAATGATAATAATGTAAATACTTGTATTCCTATTACATCACAATTTCTGCCAACAAAAACAACGCTAATAGCAAGTCTGCAAATTCAATAATAAACAAATTTCAGTAGCCAAAATTAAAGGGAATTTCTTTAATATTACTCCAGTTTTTAATAGGTTATTTACAAAAAAATGACAATACTAGTGCATTTTGTTGCATAATCTTTCTTAAGTGTTATATTTAACAATCCATGAGTGATATACTACATTTTATCCAGCATCTTCATTCTCCACGTTGCGCGTATGCCAACGAGATTAAAGTTTTATTATACTTCTTTTATAGACGTTAAGTACTTGTTTTACAGAAATAAATATTTAATTACATTTTTTGTATTTATCTGATTAAAGTATTACTTCTCTTACAAAAAATTATCTAAATTTTTTAAAAATGGACAGATCCTGAGGAAGCTGACGTTGAGTTTTGTGATATATAAATGTAATAAATATTAACAATTTTAATATCGACTATTTAGTAACAGCATTTTTTTCAAACATTTTTCAGATTTTCGGTCTTAAAACGGGTTATTTCTAGGAAAAGTTCGTCTCCCGTGTCTGCTACAGAACGTTTTTCAAACCTGACTTTAATTTTTTAGCCTATTTTAACGCTCCAAAAATATCGAAATTCTATTTAATTTGAAACCAAAATATGAACATCAAACATGTCTTTTAAAAACCGCCATTTATTCGAATTACGAGTATGAAACAATCTACTATTTTCAGAAATTTTCAGCGGAGTATAGCAGACTACATTTCAGCTATGTTTTTCAGGTTATCGAACCAAGACCATATTGTGTATGCCAATTTTTATAAGAGGATCAGTCATCGGAGTGGTCCAGATGGTGAACAAACATTCCGGCCTATTTACCATCGAGGACGAGGAAGCCTTCGAAATGTTTGCCGTTTATTGTGGACTGGCCTTACATCACGCCAAACTCTACGACAAAATCCGAAAATCCGAACAGAAATATAGAGTGGCTCTCGAAGTATTAAGTTACCACAATAGCTGCACCGAAGAGGAATATCAAATTGCAGTGCGAGAAGGAATTCCCGAGAAAATTGTAGGAATCGACGATTACTACTTCAATCCCTTCCAAATCGAAGATTTTCATAAAGCCATCTACGCAATGTACATGTTCATCGACCTCTTCGGCCTCGGCAAATTCGACAAGAATTGCCTCATGAGGTTCTCATTGACTGTAAAAAAGAATTACAGAAGGGTGCCGTATCATAATTGGACTCACGGCTTCTCCGTTGCCAACTCCATGTACAGCCTCATAAAGCATTCGGCGGGCGCTTTTCGGCCTAACGAAGTGAGTATTTCTTTTTAACAGTTTTGCGAAGGCCTAATTCACTTGAAAGTTTAAACGAGGTTAATGTGAATATCAAGCAAATCAAATATGAGAGGAACGAACAATAATAGCTGCTTTTATTCAAGACATCCATCAATTTCTAAAGCCAATATTGAAATACAATAACACGTTGATGAAAATAATTCAACGATTTTCCCAAATAGCAAATACAAGTTAATTGGATCCTTTACCAATTTACTTAGCGTGAATCACAATCTGATTATGTTCGTATTATTTTCTCTACGCATTATTCATTTAAATTTCTTCAATACTGGTTATGTTTGTATTGTATTCTCGAAACACTAGTTTGTAAAACATTTGTATTTGTAATATAATCCAGCAGCAGTACAATTCTAAACCACTTGATTTGCTCCCAGTTTCATATTTCTTTGAATTTATCCTGTTAATGATTAAGCATACCTAAACCTCTCTTTCTATCAAACACAGACTACGAGTTGTTTTTCCAACAAAATAATAATAATAAATTAAAAATATAAGTATAATTTTTTAGATTTTTCACAATGCAATATTTTGTTATTCTTTGTCGGATTTCGACGAATTTGTGTTCGGCTTAAAAAACGAACTTTGCAGGACATTGTAATTCAATTCAATAACATTTCTAGTTTTGTCTTCTAAATGTGATACTCAAAAGACGAAGGCACTGTTTTTTTTACTTTTTTATACTGAGCTGTAGTGTGCAACAGAGACAAAATTAAGTTTTTACTTATTTCAGATTATTGCCCGTTATTTTCTGAATGAGGACCAATTTCTTTCAAATTTTTTCTCCTGGTGTTTCAGAGGTTCAAAGCATTGAAAAAGATGTTTTTCTAATGTTACTAAATATTCGTTTAGAAAGTAGGCTACATAAAAAGGTAGTTATGGAAGTTAAACCGAAACTTATTTTTAACATAAAATCGCAACAGAAACACGCAACAAACACCAAAAAATAAATTGAAAAAATTATCAAGTTCAGTACAACAAGTAAAACGGTTAATTATTAGAAGCTTTCATGTGCCTATTTTGACGCTTTGGCATATTCGGCCTACTTAATACGAGCATTTATTGAAATTGGAAATGTAATGCTTTTTTTGAAGGTTTATCTACCAGGTGAATAAAAAGTATGGAACCAAACGTTTTTTGCTTAAACTATTTATTTTTTGAAAAAACTAACTGATGAGTGATAAAGTACTATAAAAATGTGATGATTTAACAAGAATATAATTTTTCGAAATTTCCTTTTGTTTTTGAGTTCTACAAAAAGAAATTTTTTTTTAAATGGCAACCCACTATAAAATCATTTTTCTCATAAAAGCTATACTCTAAGGATTACAACTATCTGCTTAAAATTAATTTTTTCAAAAAAAAATTTTTCATATAAATTGTAATTTTGACAAAAAAAAATCGCATAACTCAAAAACAAAACAAAATTTCGTTCTGAAAATACGATCACATTTTTTATATTACTTTACTTTATATTAATTATTATTTTCTAGAGGCAAATGATTAAAAATAAAACCGCTTGGTTTCATACTTTATATTCACCCTGTATATCTCTCATGTCTCAAGAATTAAAATTATGGAAAATGTGGTACATCTTTTAGAAAAGAATGGGCAATAATCTGAAATCAGTAAAAACTTAAGTTTGTCTCTATCACACACTACAGCTCAATATAAAAATAAGTAAAAAAACAGTGCCCTCGTCTATTGAGTATCACATTTAGAATACAAAATTAGAAATGTTATTAAATTAAATTAAAATGATCTACAAAGTTTTTTCTTTAAGCCAAATAAAAATTCGTCGAAATCCGACAAAGAATAACAATGTGAAAAATCGCAAAATTTTAGTTGTCCGATTAATTTTGGCATCCAGTGTAGTAAATTTTAAAAAAGTGTAACAAACACTCATTGTGATACGAGTAGTTTGTAATATGAGCTGCACAGAGGCGAGTGTTACAAATGCACTAGTGTTTACCTCCTAACTATACAAAGTATTTGAGAACTTGCACCCCCGAAAAAAATTTCAAGTAAGAATAGATATCAGGAACATGGAAAAAATGTTTAAAAAATTTTATCTGTCAAAAAAATTTCACATTTATTGTTTAACATTTGACACATTTTTTTAATTTTTATTTAATATTACTGATGATCTTGTATATGGTTTTTCTTAATTATTTAGTAAAGGTACAAAATTTTTGCCAATAAAAGCTACGAATAATGTTAAACATAGTGACAATTTAGCTTCCTTGTTTCAAAGTATTTTTCTCTGGGGCGCGAGTTCTGAAACACCCTATATACTCGTAGTACAAGCACAGCAGACCATTATTTTTCTAGGTACTACTCCTTTTTGAACGTTCATTTTTTGAACTATAAAAAATATTTTCAAGATAACGACACTCTCGGTTAGACCAACTTTCTTATTTTAAAAATAAAACTGCGTTTTTATTAGATACTTAAATCAAGTACTGAAGTTTAAGAGAGTTTTTCTTGGCTTTTCCTCTACCTGAGTTTTCAAAATTTGAAAACCATTACTTTGTTGGTCATCCTTTATTTTTGCAGTAATTTCTTGTTTATTTTGATTCATTTATACTTAAATGGACTGAATTATTCAATTCTCGTTTGAAAAAGGTATTTACTAATCAATTTCGCACTTCAAACTCAACATCACCATTTTGATGGTTCGAAAACCTATAAATAAATCATATCCAATATTTCCTGCGAATTGAGGGTGAATGAAGAATTAACAGCTACCGACGTGAAATCCCTTATAAAAAGCTCTACACGACCGTCACTGCACGCTTTTATATTTATATTCAATTATCCTCATAAAAAAGTTGTATTTACATGCGTACGAATTCGGCATAAACCTCCATTTAGGTTCGTGCTATAGAAATCCGTATTTATTAAAAGTTTGATCAACTACCTGACCAGAATACGATTTTTAATGAAGGTTTTACTTCAAAGTCTGGACTTACTTTTAACGTAAACGCTGAATAAAACATAGAAGCTTTTCATTAGAACGAATCGATTCGAACACAAAGGTAATTAGTTCGTGATCCAGATTCGGTGTAGATACATCAAGTATGTTCTTTTTTGACCCCGTCGAAGTCAATTAGTTGAACAAACAAGAAATTGTTGATCATTAAAGTTGAGGAACAACAATAACAATGCCATCGTGATGTTAATATTTTTCATCTTCCTTATTTGTCCTCTCTAATGACTTCCTGTCCTGTCAGTCTCTGTTCAGTTTATAACAGTTGTGTTGTAATTTCAGTGCTTGGCATTATACATAGGGGCACTGTGTCATGATCTCGACCACCGCGGGAAAAACAACAAATTTATGTTGGACACGGAATCCCCGCTGGCAGCTATCTACTCCACATCGACGATGGAACATCACCATTTCAATCAAACAGTCACCATATTACAACAGGTCAGTTTCACTCATTAATTTTTAATCATTACACCAAACATTGCAAACGCTCGACAATTGTTAATTGCAGAATTACAATTAATTAACATTTTATGGGCTCCAGGGATTTAATGAGCAGCTCCATCAACAATATCATAAATTATTCAGAGGGTTTTTTCAAGATAAACTCACAACTTGGGTAAATTATTCCGCAACATGATGAAAATTCCCCAAATTCATACTGCGGTAAATGAAAATGCAATCAATAAGTACGGCCAATTTAAATTCCCACAAAAGAATAATATTTTCTTTAAAAAAATGCAGAGTTTAGTACATTTGAGGAGCAGACTTTCAAAATGCAGTTTGTCTTTTTGTTATGGATTGAGATGAAGGTGGCGCTACAGGCTATACAGGATGCGCCAGAACTCGCGCCCCAGAGAAAAATTTCAAGTAAGATAGGTTACCAGGAACATAGAAAAAATTTCAAAAAATTCTATCTGTCAAAAAATTTTGACATTTATTTTTTGACATTTGACATTTTTTATGTCTATTTAATGATACTGATGATCTTGTATATGTTTTTTAATAATTATTTATTAAAGCTACAAAAATTTTGTCAATAAAAGCCACAAATAACATTAAACAGAGTAACAATTCAGGATACAGCTTTCTTGTTTCCTGTTCTAATAGCCTTTTTTTCAACAGAAATAAATAGAGTCAAAGTGCAAAATTTAAACTCTCATATCTTCGTAATTTTTATACATAAATTAAGTTAATATTCTTTACGAAAATGTATCCAGTATAATTTAAAGAAGGAGGATTTGATAGCGTTAGTAATGTCATTGATGTAGTCCAGAAAAATAAGTAAGAGGTCTAAATTTGATTCTTGAGGAACCACAGAATATTGTGTTAAAGGTATAAAGACTGAAACCCGTTTTAACATACAAACTATACTGTCTGTTGCAGAAAACCCATTTTTCAACTATAATTTAAGAATTAAATAAAATTATCAAAATGCTAAAGTAACTTTAAACTTATAACTTCTTACAGAGGATTGGCTTATCGCCGAATTAATATTTTGCCCTACCAGAAGATGTTACTACTATTATGAAAAAATTAATGCTGTTAGAACTTGTAAGGAGAGTAAATATGTATGTGAGAAGATTTATAGTTTTAAAAATGATTTTGGTCAAAGTAATTTGAATCCAAGAAAAAGGTATAAGAAAAAGTTTTATTTTATCTATTAAATTATGAACCATTTCCTTTGTTTGTCAATAAGTTTCCAAGAATTTAGAATTTAACAAAATTTCAAAGGAGTTATCACAAACGTGAGATATCGCATTTTGTCCTATGATATAAAAATATTGAAAGTTGCCTAGACATTCAAACTACATTTAGTCCCATGTGTTGGGACACTTAAAAAAATAACAGAAATAAAGCGCTGCCAAAAGAATTTTTGCTCAAAAGAAGTCACACCACCATTAAAACCGATGAAGAAGACGATGAAGAATGCGCATGTGCAGTTGAGGAAGAGGTGCAATATGTACAAATTTGTTTATTAAAGGATATATAAATACCAAAATAAAAAAAATTGACCTATAAAGAGCATTAAGTCCTTCTTTGACAATCAAACTGAATTATGTTCAAAACATATTTGTGTTTTGTAATAAAATGCCTAAGTATTTCAGCCGTAAAATGAGTGTACAATTTGTTCATATTTTTTCACATTTATTGGCACTGGTATAAAACATTAAAATCATTTCTTAAGAGAAGGACAGTTTTTGCTCTCTACTGCAAAAATGCAAATTTGGACAAACTGCTTTTTGAAAGTCAGCTCCTCATTTATACATAGCACTTTATCTTTCACGAATTATTTTTTCTGAAAGTAAATAGTTAAATTAAAAAACGCTTGAAAGAAAACTTATTTCGATACCAAAACCGATGCTTGTGAAATGTGCCATTTCAACACCAATTTGGGTGCTGAAATAGACTAGTTGTACAATTTACTTTCTACAAGTTGGTAATGGTGATTTTCGCGGCGTTTTGAGCGATTTCTCTCATTTTTAGGTGGTGTGCATGAAATATTTGCGGTATTCATTGTTAGTTCAACAAAATTTTGACAAATATTCGAGACTTGACATTTCAAAAATCGAATTTTTCAACCTTTGTGATATTTATCTCCAACCACCACGTTATTGGGGCAAAAGTTCCTAAATTTTAAACAAATCCACTTTTATGTTTAAAAATTACATAAAACGCACAAAATAGGAAAAATAGTATCGAAAACTTGTTTCATAAGTCATTTGTGGGAACTCGTTCTTTATCAAACTCGCGCTTCATTGCTCGTTTCATAAACCTGAACTTCAACAAAACTTGCCTTACCAAATGCGTTCATTAATATACTATTTCATTATGCAAAATTAGAAAAAATATGTGTAGGTATATCAAACAAATCTTTCAAATTTCTAAGATTCATCCAATCAGATTTGCAATAATTTGGCACAACGGTAAATTATCGATAATTTGCACATTTGCTAAATTATGAGTGATTGGATGAATCTCAGAAATTTGATTGTCTTAAATTTTGTGAGGGAAATAGAATAGAAATAGAAAAATCATTATGTTATTTGATTGTATTTAATTTGTTTCAATTTGTTCCTTCAATAATACCAGACAATTTATTTTTATTAGTCTTAAATTGAAAACTTTAATAGGTAGTATAAACTGTTTAAAATACCTACCTACCTACTTACGGATAATTTCACGCCTTTAAATCATTGTAATAGCTAAACTGGTGTAACAAATTAGACATCTGTGTGGGTTGAGCTACTTATAATTTTGTTGCTAATAAATTTCAATTTTCCTGGCTTGTTAACCGTCACTAGTGATTTTTTTCTAAACATTTCCCGTCTAGCACGCTCTCAAGCAATCGTTAAACTTTGCAGGAGGGCCATAATATCTTTGCCAAACTCTCGAGTTCAGAGTACAAACAAGTCCTAAGTTTGCTTAAGCACTGCATCCTCGCCACCGACTTAGCAGTGTTCTTCCCCAACAAAGCCAAATTGAGCCAACTGGTCCAAAACAATTCGTTCTCGTGGAACAACTTGGAGCACCGGTTATTACTGCAAGCCATCTCCATGACCGGCAGTGATCTCAGTGCGAGTGCCAAGCCGTGGGATATCCAAGTCGAAACCGTTAAAGTGATTTTTGAGGAGTTTTATGAGCAAGGAGATGCCGAAAGACAGGCGGGGAGGATGCCGATTCCGATGATGGATAGGCACCAACCTGACCAGCAAGCCGCCTCTCAAGTGGGGTTCCTAACTGGCATTTGTGTTCCTTGTTATAGTTTGCTATATACCTTAATTCCCGAAACCAAACCTTTATTAGACATGTGTCAGGAAAACTTGGAGCGTTGGCGGAAAATCGACAATGAAATCAAAGAGAAAGAAATAAAAAACTAAATCAAAATCAATCATAATAACCAACAATGTCTCAGAGCACGTTCCTCCTTTTTAGAAAAAACCTTCGTTGTCGTTTATTGTCAGAACAAATGTTTTAATGTTTCGTTAAGAGATGTATGTAATTTAGAAATTTTAACCATTAGTAGTGCCTTTAGGTTTTATAGTAAATTATAAAATAATTTTATTTTTGTATCTTTTTTTTTCGAATAGTAAGTAATAAATGTGAGTATATTTCAAATTTTCTAAACTGTGAATGCTTAAAACTGTATACACTATAAACCGTAAAGTGAGCAATATTTATTTATATCGAATATTTTCCATTTACAAAAAATCTAAATAATTTTTGAATTACTCTTAAACATTTTTCTACAGTATTGATATCATAGGGATTTAAAAATATATCTGACCAACACTGTACATACAACATTTTTAAACTTATGTATCTCTTTTTAAAGTGTCTTTGAAAAACAGGATGTTGGATAGAAAACGTCTACTATAAAATGTGGTCACAAAAAATTTACGAGCTAACGGTACAATTAATTGAAAGTCGTTAATTCATTTTATAGCCATATTTGTAGATTTGTAACTACATACTTTATTGTATTTTCGACATTTTCTATTAAACGTCGCTGAAAATTATCTATTTTGTATATAATATTCAATTAGTTGAAATCTTTTTAACTCGATAGTTAAGATGTATTTATTATTACATAATATTGTTTCTAGTCCTCATACGTGCTGTAACGTTTTCTTAACATTAATTTTGTTTTAACTTTAAGTAGGATAGTTTATTAGATGATGAAATTGTTTTTGTGTACCTACCTATTTTATGTCTCCAAATAAAAATTATTTGTCTTTACTTTATTTGAATTAAACTAAAACGAATTAAAAAGTCAGTACACTTTTGTTTATTTTGTCAAAGAAACGAAAACCTTACTCGTCTTTTTACATTTTAGAGATTTCAAGAAAAAACTAGTAATGATTTCAAATAAACCACTCTGTATAAAACATGAGTCATTTGATGTATTATGTTGTATAAGTATTCCTAGTTGTCTGCCACCAATAATGCACTGACATCTTATTTTTTAAAAGTAGACATTAGTCAATGGAATTGTGGAATGTATTTTGTGTTGCTTGTCATCTTAGTCTGTACATTTAAAAACAGATCATAAATAATTTAAAAAATATTGTTTAGAACAATGTTGTATTGCCTTGTCGGTCATTAAAATTTGGTGTTTTTATATTTTTTTATTTTAGTTTTAAAAAAGCAAACTTAGTCTTCAGAATTATTAATAAATATATAATTAAAAAAAGTTGTTGCAAATTTAGAAAAATACAATTTCTAACATGTGTTGCAAACAAGAAAAAAATTCCAATAATATTTGGTAAATTTTCTAAAACACATTTATTTTATTGCTGTAATAACTGAGTGGTTAATTGAAGTTAAACATTTTGTGGTGGATAGTAACGGGTGTTTATTTAGTAGTATTTATTTATTTAAATTTGGCGTCACAGTTGGCTGTTATACGAATGTGTTGTGAATGGACTACAATTTTCAATACGCCCGGCGAGGAGTCAAATGTCAGATTAATGACTTTCAGTACGATGGTTCGTTCACAATCGAACTTTCATGGATAGCTTTGACGCCAAATTAAAAAAAAAACACCTTTTATATAATTATTTTCAGTATAATTGGTTATGTAATTAAAAACCCTGAAATTTTATCGTTAATTTTGTTCAGAAAAAAGTCAAGTTAGAGGGATTAGAATAGAATATTATTTGACGAACGTAGTGAAACAGATAATTCAGCTGAGCCACATAAACTCACTTTTACTCCAAATAACATATACTATTTTATCCGAAAACGTATTCAGATCGAGAGTAAAAACCAACACTACCTACAATTAGGAAATAAATGAACAAAATAATAAAATCATAACTAAGCTTATAAACAAATATAACGTGTCAGTCTAGCATTTTCTGTTTAAATTTTCGTAAGTGTTTATTAATTTAACTAGTGCAGTTAGTAGTGTAAAGTGTCGAAGATTTACAATGCACCTCTTCAAAAATTACTGAAGCAGCGAAAGAGACAAGAAGGAAGCAAAATTTTTAATTGTCAATAATGTTATGGATGTTGAGGCACAAAAATAGAAAAGTAAAACATTTACTTGTCACATTTAGTCGTAAAAGTGGTCACTTTTGTGACGCCTGCGGATCAAATTTTTTTTTAATGACTTGCATTACTGAAGAAATACATTCCTTGTTTAACTATTAAAACACCCGACTTTTGAACTTGATTTTTGCAATTTTATTATTCTAATCATCAGTTTTATTATACACTAATTATAAAAAAGATTCCGTATTTAGGTATTTCTAAAGAATCTTATTTGTAAGTTTAACCTTTGACGGCTTGTAACAATTTTTTCTAAATTGTTTACATAAAAGATAAGCCTGTATCTAATAACTATAGGAACCTGACCATCTTATCTATAGTTTTCTTATCATTCGCATTGCGGTATATTTCCCTATGTACACATGAAGACCACAAAAACGAGATTGTTTTATAGTGTCAAGAAGGTTAAACTAAAATGAGTGGCAGTAACCCCTTGACCAATCTACGTAAGTACCTAACAGTTCGCAAATACCAAATATGTAGATTATTACATAAAAATTTTAGAAATTTCTGATCAAGATTATCATCCTCTATGTTATTCAATTCAAGCAGATGACGAAAATGAACAATCAGCTCTCTTGCCCGCATTTCATCAAAGGAAAAGTTTACGAATCCAAGATAAAATTTTTATTATATTTTTATTTTCAATTTTAATTAGTGGACTAGCAATTGGCATTTATCTGCTTGCAACAGAAGGTAAGTTTTTGTTAAAACGCTTATTTCGCAAGAAATGCCATGACTAGAATCTCTTTTCTATAAATTTCCTCTTATCGAAAACTTGCAGGACACGAATGGAAAGCTCCAGGAGTCTACAATATTACAGTTCGAGAACAGTGGCAAGCTCACGTACCTTCATCAACAATGCCAAAGTTGGAACTTCCTGTAAGAAGAGTTTTATTTCTTCCAACAAATACCACTAGCTGCGACAGCAAATCCCACTGTGCCAAACTCCTCCAGGAATTACAATTAAAACATATGCTGCAGTGGAAAGAACCCGACATCTCGTACAATTTCATAATGACTGCAGACGGTAGAATTTTCGAGGGAAGAGGATGGCAATTTGAAACTTCTTTCCCAAATTATATGGTTAATGATACTGTGACTGTTGCTTTTTTGGGTAATAACAATTCTATTCTCGAGACTACTTAATCAAGAAAAAAATTCTTTTAGACAAATTAGAAACGAAAGCGCCGACATTTAGACAAGCTGAATCGACAAAAATATTCCTCAAAGTGGCGATAACGGAGGGAAAATTAAAACGATGTTTTAATACCGCGATCTGGGGAGGAAATAAATTCTTCATTGATCTGGCCAAAAATGTTCAAGACGTTCTATCGGAATGCAAGGGAATTACTTAATACTTCAGTCTTTGGCTATTAATTATTTCTACAGAACTGTGATAATAATTTATATACTCTGAATATTTCCCACAAAGAAATTTAATGCTTTATTAATAATTAAAATTGTGCGTTTATTAAATTAAGATTAAGCATTATGTCGTGACTATGAGACGCTATGACGCTGCACAAACAGATTTGTGTTATATAAAAAACTAATTAAACTAAAAACTAATTATTAAAGCAAACATATAACAATAAAATTATAAAGCTATGTACTAGAAAGTAAACAAAATTGTTTCTTGTCTCTTGATGCTTACGGATCTAACTACATTCTACAGTTTTGTGATGATTAGAGTGGTGTGTTTTAACTTAACAAACAATGAAGTTAAAATTAACAAACTATTGTTACTCTAAAACAAACAATAAAAAATAAATTTTAATTTAAACAAACTTAATCAACTTCAAGCTTTCGAAAACTTCCAGGAAGACTTCCAACTCCGGTATTATCCTCGTTAGGTAAATTTCGTCTGCATATTATACCTTTGTCACTTAACAAATTCATGGCGTCATAAGATAGCAGAAGTTCTCTTTTCGCAGCTAATTCTTTTTTCCACAGTTCTGCCATTTCTTTTGCAGGCATAACACCTCCTAATTCCAGAGGGAGACACTTTTTGTCTACTTTATTATGCAATTCATTCAAAGAGCTGTGAATCTAAAAAAAAACTTATAGTTGTGGATACAGTTTAAACAAACACTTACCATAATCCTGTTTTTTAATTTTTCACTCTTAATTGTAGAATGAACAAAATCATAGACATACTTTAGAGCTGATGGAAAGTTTAAAAGATTGATTTCTTTGTGTCTCATTGGTAGGGATTGCTGAAATCATAAAATTGATTAATTTTGTCAGTGAGATCACTTAAGTGCAAACCTCCCCCCAACGAATTATTGTTGCGAATTCTGTGATGGACCACAGAGTCAGAAAAGCAGCACTTAGGCCATTAGCATCACAAACATGGTTAACACCAGCGATTTGGTTCTCTTCGTCGGCCAAAAGAGTTTCGTAAGTGATAGCGTGAGCTAAGCCAACATCCGTTCCGGTAAATTGATGAGGATCGACTTTGCTTATATTATAAATAATAACTCTCCTTCCATTAGCATCTCTAAAAGGGCTTGCAAAAATATATCTACAAGTGAATTTTGTCAAAGAGAGTAATTTTATTGCCGATCTAAATACCCATTGTTAATGAGAGGGCTTTTAAGATGATCCAGACCGTACATAAATTCTTTAAATCTTTTTCTGAAGTTTAAGTATTTCAAAAGGGTTTGTTCAGCCATGAGTATACTGAATTTCTTCACTCGTAAGAAACGGAGAAGAAATCTGTCATCTAAAAGGAAAATATAACAAATTTTGTGCTTTTTCAACCTCTAACTTGAGTTTTCAGACTTTGTTACGGAACACAATGTTAAATTAGTAGCAACACGTAATTAAACTTTGCGGAAACTTCAAAGTTTATTAAGACTGTAAAAGGGGCGAAAATTTAAACCTAATCCAATCCAATTTAAAAGAGAAAAATTGTCTATATAAACAATATAAAGAAGATGCGACAATCGATTATTCTTCAAAGAAAAGTTCATTTTTCTCTTGATCAAAATCAAAGATAAAAAAATGTTTTTCTCTTGTAAACTCAATCCGGGGACATACTGTAGAGGGTGAATTTGTTAAAAGAATATCTCAATCAGTATTTGCCACCAAAAATTTTGTTTTTTCTTTGTGTATGTGGCTTTTTTCAGATTTTTTGTAAAATAATCAAATCTCGATAAACCATGACAAATTTTTGGGCTAAAAACTGAAATTATAATAAGTTTTAATAACCAAAGACTTGGAGAAACAATAAATTTTTTTAGGAAAAAATATCTTGAAATGATTGAGAAATTTTTAAGTTAGTGAAAAAAGGTATTTAAAAAATTTGCTGAATTATTTTGTAATTAATTTGAATTAAATACTGTTAAAATCCAGAGCAATAATATAAAATAATATATCTAAGATAAATTAAATATTAGACCAGATCATATTCTAAGAAATATTAAAAAAACACTTTTCAATCATTCTGTATATGATTCCAATTATTATTAAAATAGTATCAAAATTATAGCGAATCGAAATTCAGTAATATTAAAAATAAAATACTTGAGAAATAAATATTTTTGACAAACCTACAGAATAATGGCCATGTTTGAAAGCAATCTTTCTTGTTGAATCATTCTGTTCTGAATTTTAATTAACTCTGCAGTAACACTAAATAAAAAAATTAAAAGATAAAAGATTTTCTAAAAAATTTTGTTATTATTTTTATACAGGGACACAAAAACCAACAAATTTTGATAAATCATTCATTTGAATCGCCCTCTAATTAATATACTAAATTAATTTTAAATTGAAATTAACTTATTGAAAAATTCTTGAATGCGTTAAAATGTAAAGGGTGATTTAGCTGAGATGACGCTACAGTTTACCTTGTAATCTATAGAATTTCTGTTCTGTAAATTTTAAAAATTGATGTAAAAGTAGCAAAGAATTTTGAAAACAAACAACTAGATTTCAGATTTAATTGTTTTCGTAATCTTTATTAAGCACCCTCTATATGCCACTATTTTAGAAAATATAGTGTAATCACTGTTCGAAATAATTTGGATTAAAACGAGATTCGGATAAAAGAGGCTGCACTGTAGTAGATATTCCGCGCCATCTCTCATCTTAGAAACAAACTGTAACTAGTCCTCTTTCACCCTTAAAAATTCCGCCACTACATCAACCAAAAAAGGCAATAACCTACCAGTGAGGCAATTCTCAATGTCCTGATTTTTCTTGATCCATTCCCTGAGTTGTTCCAAGCATTGTTTCCGTGTGTTTTCATCCTCTCTAAGTTCATTCCCCGCAATTTTCATAAGTTGATTAGCAAACTCTTCTTGATCCTTGTAGACTAATTGTTTCTCTACAAGACCGCTGTTTTTATCGCTCCAAGGGATAGGCATTATTAGCTGTGTTCCAGGCATCCTAAATAAATTCACAATGAGGCGGTTTTTATTTCAAATCATCATAAGAAATGGAACACTTTCGTATAACTTTCTTTAATGTAATTGCAAGTGTAATTGTGTGTATTTATTTACCTCTCATACATAAGTTTGCGAAACGATGATCGTTAAAGTAATACGACATTAAATTACACAATGAATTTTTTTTCCTCCTTCATCATGATGGATTTGAAGTTGAAGTTAAGTATTAGCTGCGTTTAACCGATTATTAAAAAGAGATCGTTATGTAATGAAATTATGCACGTGTATGTTATTATTGTGAACCATATTTACGAGCTTTATTAATTTGTTTGAAAATCCTCATTTCCGTAACAATTTAGCAGACTAACAGACACAATTTCATTTCCGGAAAAAATTAGTTTGCATTGTAATTTTCAATTTTTTATTTCACCAACTTGCTGAATTTGCTGAAACTGTGTTAATTAACACATAAATTTAATTTTTGTTACAATATTCATTCCGTTGATAAACTACATTACATACATATATTTAGATACATTCCATTTCATATTTCATGCGAAATTGATAATCGAAATCACTAGATAATAAAAACATTCGAAAAAAAATTTTTGTTTAATAAAATAAAATACGAGAATATTTAAAATAATCTACGGGGTGTTATCCCCAACTGTTTGAGTTGGCAATAATGCTGAATTTGATTTTAAAATAGTACAAATGGGGTTGCTTTTGGAGTGGTTTCGCTTGTTGGTTATTTAACATTATAAATTCAAATTAAACAAAAACAAACCCTAAAAGCTTGTTTAATATCTGTCAAGTAAAACCATATTCAGTTGCAAGGTTGCAAACAACCGAATAAAAAAATGCACTTAATTCTGTTGCCAACTCAAACAGTCATTCTTGATCACCCTGATGAGTTGAAGAGTTCAGAACCAAGTCCAGCATGCATTTTAATTTTAAATGCTGTATATTATAAAAAATTCCATAACATAATAATAATATTGTTTAACATTATTGAACCATCAAGAGCATTTAGAAGTCAATTAAGAAATAATTGCATCTGTGTTGGAACTAATCAACTTTGAAATCTGCTTTCTCTTATTGTTTTTTTTAAAACTCTCAACCCTTCAATAAATAATAATGATTAATGAGTTTAAATAAAACTAAATGTATGTTTTTCAAGGCTGCTTTACAAATGTAGTTTTATTAAATTCCTATGCATTTTAAAATGTAAAAAGTGCACTGGCCGTGATATAAATTGAATTCTAACCACTACAATAACTGAAGTAAATTTAAATTAATCTATACAACATATCTTCTAACTACTAACGTCACAATTGATAAAGTGGATAAATAAAAAAGTGGGTAAATATCTCTAATTGTGTATACTTTCTCATGTTTAAACATATTACTCATGTCTTGTATTCTGTTGCAATTAGGTAGCGAAAGTTACACTTATTGGAGACAAAGATAATTACTTAATTGTCAAGTTCATATTAGTTTAGTTTCCGCCTTGCACGTTCAATGTCTTTTATAACAAAAACATTTTATAAATAACAAACTACATAGTTGTTAAACACTTCTACATAAAATGTACGGTATTATAACCAAGCCCAAAAGAATTTATTCCTATTTTGACAGAAATTATTTTTATTATGTTTTGAGTAAAATAATATTTTAATGACAACTATAATTTGTATACTTATAACTCAAATTAATTACTCTAACACCGATAATGAGGAAAAAAATAATTGTCTTAAAATTTTGTTACAAAAACTAGTAAAATTATATTACATGTTTTATGTAAAAGAATACAGAATACAGAGGTACGTAACAAAGAAAAAATATTTGTGTAAAATGCAATACCTTATTCAATATAAACTATTTACAAAATAATAAAACAATAATAAATATTGGTATTATTTCATCCTCAATAAAATACAAATTCGTAATACAATTTAAAGATCTATTAAATAAAATTGTTATTTGGAATGTCATGAACAAAGTCTATTAAATTGTATATTGGTCCTAATCAAATGGATTCAATATTAATTAATTAAAAATTCCGGTTATATATAAAAGTGTTGTTTGACTTTTATTTTTTAAAACTAAAAATTTGTTTAAATTCATCAAAAATTGTGATGGAACACAATATTCAGTTATTCAGTAATTAATTAATAAAAAATAAAAAAATATATAATTTAAATCCCATTTAGTTATAGCAAATGTAGTTTAAAAAAAACTTACCTAAATTTTCTGATGTGTTAAGGAAAACGATCAATTGAAAATCACCACTGCTGGCCAAAATGAACAATTACTATGTAATCAGCTACGAATAAAACTGAATTTGAAATAATAAATATATGATTAAGTGGGGTAAGTTACTCTTGCACGTGGAGGTGGTTTTGTCAAGGTCGCGAAACGTAGGAAGTAAGTATGTGGAAAAGTGTTTATGTAATTTTGCAATGTCTACAATAGCTTATGATATTATTGTACTTATTTGACTCACTTCCTTGATACATTTGCTTTATTTATTGTTAGTTGACATACTTTTTTTCGAAGATCTAGATATAATATCGCAATATCTAACGGGAATTGTTTTTTCAAAAATTGTTGGATTTTCTTGTATACAAAAATATTAGTTTTAATGTAATCATAAAAAATGTAATAGTTATTACAATTGATTTATTTGTTGATAAAAAGATGATACATATTTGTATTTCGAAAATTTTTGTTTACATCTTAATTGTGAAAGCTCCATTATGGTAATTGTATGGGTAAATAAAATTAATATTCAGTTATTGTTAAATATGGATTCTTAATAAACAATAACGTAAATACCCAAGCCAGTTTAAAACCAGAAAGACTACAGTGATAAAAAGGAGGGACTAACTCATGGACGAGATGCAAGAAATTTCACATTTCAACGTATACATTTTAAGAAAAGTGTTTTTGTATTAGTTTCTGAAAAAATAATCTAATTATCAAAAAGAACTTCACCCAATGATGTTTTTCAAGTATCTATACAGTCTGTCTAAAAAATTACAATTTTTTAATAAAACACAAATTTTTCACATTTTTAAGTAGGTTGTTTTAAAATAATTTTATTTGAACACCCTGTGTACAAAAACTGACATCATTAAAATTAATTTTAAAACATGTACTTACAAACTTTTGAAGTTTTCTAAAAGATAAACAAGTGAAAAAAATTAAATAGACTAAGCACTTATTTTTTGCTTTTGTATAAATAAAATTTTTAGGTTGTTTTTCTAAGAAATATTTTAATACTTTTAACTTTTATGTCTCCAATTAAATAGTGTGCGGGGACAACTACCTATTCACGTCCAGAAGTTTTTCATGACGACAAACACGATTTTTTTATTTTAAGAAACACATAAATGGGTTTAATAAGCACGCACTTACACACATAAATGTTTTGATATTAGAACATTATACAAGAAATGATAAAAAGTCCATTTTTACAAAAATATAAAAAAATTATTAGAAAGGATAATACTCCTATCATTTTTAAATGACCTTACTTGATATAAATATACCATATTCACATGAAAACAATAGGTAATGCTTAAGGGTACAAATTGGTGTAATCACAGAAACAATAACTTGTAAAAATAAGAGCAATGAATAATTTCGTATTAGTATTTTTTTACGATATTTCGTCATTTTTAGTTTAGTTTTTTTATTACAACATCTATTAAACTGTATCACAGTTATACAAGTGCTTATTACGGGTCTATTTAGAAAAAAATCTAGTTGTGAAGGAGGACTCATAAAATTTAAGCACTTTTACATTAAATAACAGAAAAAAAAATTTGGTCTATAGAGGTGAATATACCGTTCGTGAATATACCTACATATATTTTTAGTGAGGATTAAAGAACCGCCAAGTAGGTACTAAATCGACCTAGAAGACGCAATTTAGTTTAGTCCACGAATAGGTGAAATGACTCTTGTAAAAGATAATTAATTCTCGATTTAAATTTTCATTTTTTGAGGTTCAGCCCTGCTTGGTTAGAGACTAATTTCTAACATAATATTAGTTTTAAAAAATCAAGTACTTATGTCTTAGCAATTTTCAAAAAAACTTATTGTTTCAATTATTTTTTACAAAATTATTTTAAAAAAATGAAAAAAAGTGGGTTAGTACTACCTGTGCATCTTGTTCCACTCATCCTTATTTGCTTTTTTTAATGCTACCACCAACCGAAGACTCTTTTGGAGTTCCTTTCTTCACTTCATTTCTTGTATGCCTATTATACATTGCTCCTTGTTAATTTTCGGTTGGCGGAGAAGCTTGCTTTCATCTAATTCTTTCTTTTCTTTATTTTTTGACAGTTTGGAAAGCGTTTTATTTCTTTTGAAGCTCGGTTGGGTTTGTAAACAATTCACAAATGACACAAAATTATTTTGTACTAAATGTTAAAGAGTGCTTTTATCAACAAATTTCACTAGATAAAGTAGTCTTTTATCGTCTAGTGAAATAAAATAATTTTTATCTACTGTTTATATTCAAGAAATTCTGGTAGGTGAGTACAAAATAAAATATATTATACAAGACGATGAAGATTGTTTATCTACTCGTGAAAAAGCCCACTCGTGACTTCGTCACTAGTAAACTTAACCTTTTCACTCGTAGATAAACAATTTTTTTATCGTCTTGTATAATAAATAACTATTATTATGAATAACTATTATTACTTCACAAATCAAACATTTTTTTAAGAACCTAAATTAAACTTGTATAACGTTAAAGGTACCTACAAATTTTTTCTTACAATTGCTTTTTTTAGTTTTTTTTTAATGCAATAAGCAGTTACATTAAACCTTAAGAGTTCTTCTCTTCAATGCTTATTTGATGCTTCGACCTACAATAAGATACTTCACGAGTGCAGGTTTACACTATAGCGTTGACTTATTGTTCAAAAGTATCATTAGAAGGTAGTATTGCGAAGTTTACTTGTAAATACCAAGGTTTTTACTTACCATGGGTAAGTCAGACATAAACTGATGAAAAAAAAACGAAATAAAATTGCATTGTCGATAGTAGGAATTATTAACTGACTAAATGATTGTGACAAAAAAAAATCTATTGGCAACACTGAATTATTGGTAATCGTTCTTTTAATTTGTGATTTTAGTTTTTTTTTGTTTTAGGTGACGGCTATGCCAACAAAATAAGATTTCAAATTTGTTACCAACGTGCCGACAAAAATCACAGTTATATTTGTACATATAATAGTAATTCTGATATACATATAACCATGAAAGCTATAAAACTAAAAATTAGAGGGTAATAAATAATAAATCCTGTTGTAAAATATTTATCAATGTTTTTAAAACAAGTTGTTTATTTACAACATAACAATACAAGCAACAAAGATCTTTTTAACGTTGCATTCTTTTCATTTTCCTTTCCATTTTTTTCTGTTTTTTCTCATCAACTTCTGGTTCAAAAGGAACGTCTGGGAAAAAGTAAGGGGACAAAATATTTTTCCATATAATCCAAGCACCTCGTGCAGGGGCCAACAACCACAATAACCAAAAATAATTTGAAATAATTGACGCCAATATCTGGCACCCAGCTGTAAGAATAATTATGTCTTTGACATGTCTAAAACAAATAAAATTTATTATTATCCAAGAAGCATTGGCAATATTTACTCTGCTATTCCTCCTTCCATATTAAGATCCACTCCACTATCAAGCAATTGACCTGTTTCAGTATGCTTAGGTTTTGCCATATAAACCATGAATTGATAAGCACCGATATATACAGCACATGAAAATAAATATAGGACCTAAAACACGTAAAAAAATATTACCCCAATCTTAAATTAAACCACTTTCTTACAATACTTATAGTAGAATTGTAAAATACTAAAATAATGAGTGACAACGCATTGGAAACAATTGCCATATTTCTATAAAAGTTGAGCGTGGATACATTTTCTTCAACAATCTGCTTGGCCCCTTTTGTACCCTGTTTACCTTTCTGAGGGGGCTAAAAAGCAACAAAAATTAAAACAAAAACCCGACAATAATTAACTACGTACAGCCATAATTCCAAATTAATTTAAAACAACTTTTTAATAAATCTAGACGTATTTTAATTCACAATCAGGTGAAATTTCACTTTTGGTCAATTTCCATCACCAAACACGTTGGAACTATTGTCAGTCCTGTCATCAAAAACTGTCAATTTTGGACAAAATCCGAAAATTTAGAAATTTAGAGAACGCGAAAATCGTGATTACACGTGTTGTTGTAATGAAACAAATCACATTCAATGCGTGGCTTACATAACATCATTCTCTCTTTGGGTCCAATGTTTTTACAAAATTATCTAATAAACTATATGATTAGTGTAAAACTGGTTGCCTAACACAAGACAATTAGTGACGTCCCAGTATCCCTTTCCATTTTATATTTTTATCAGCTGTTAGGTATATTTTAATCAATTTTCATTTATTTATATTTTGCGTACGATAAGACTTTGATTTGAACCTGTTATTATCAATATTGTTTAGTCGATTTTTTCACGGAACAGTTCAAAATACAAGGTTAATCAGCCAAGGTGCAAAGGTTCATACAACTCATTTATCCTCAGTCTCAGCAGTTTAACTAGGACACATATCACGTAAAGATGGCTTTTCAACAGGTTTGTCCTCACTGTTATCAATTGTAGGCTTTTAGAATACAATTTTGGTGTTTGTTACAGATTCAGAGAGCCCTTCTTCGCCCATCCTTTAGAGCAGTTGCAAAACTACAAACTTGCAACGCCTCATCATCACCTAACGGATACAACTTTGGTAAATATAAATGAATTAATTTTTAATTTAGGGAGTAATAAATGTCTTTGTTTCAGCCTTAAATGATACTCAAAAAGAGTTTCAAGAATTGGCCAGGAAATTTGCTCGAGAAGAGATTATTCCTGTTGCTGCTGAATATGATAAAACTGGAAAATATCCATGGGACATTATTAAGAAAGCGTGGGAGATTGGACTAATGAATGGACATATCCCTCAAGAAATTGGTATAAAACATTACATTTATTATAATTGGTATAAAAATATTTCTTTGGTTTGTAGGTGGTATGGGAAATAGTGTTTTCGATGGTTGTCTCATTGCAGAAGAATTGGCCTATGGATGCACTGGTATTATGACTGCTTTGGAAGCCAGTGGTTTGGGGGTAAGCTCACACATAACATTTTTATTAAAAATTGGAATTAGCTTAATCAATGAATTAATCAGTTTCGCTATTTTTGAATGAAACTAACGTCTAATGTGATTGGTTTCTGCATGGTTACTTACATTACAATAATGGCCGACCTCATTGCATTAAATTTTTGAATGAATCCAAAAAACTAAAGTGATTGGTTTTTAACATTATTTTAATGGCCTTACGTTAATTCAATGTTGATTCATTAATAGATTTTTTAGCGAATATCTCGAAAACTGTTTTTTTTTTCTGGATATAAGCGAAAAATTATAAAACAGCACCTTCTTGGTGTCATCTCGAAGGACCGGAAATTTTTACTATCTTACTTAAATTCAGTCTTAATATCAAAAATTCTGTTTATTAAAAATACTCGTATGTACAGTTTGTATGGACTATGAAACGGTATTAGGTTTTGATAGATGATAAAGTTATGTAACTGAATGAAACTGATTACAAGCATATTTATCGCAGTGTAATCGTATCTCACTAGGTGCATACTTTATTTTATTGTCGATTTATAGAATACTTGTTATTAAAATATAGAATTGTTTACCACTACTTAATTTCCAATAACATAAAACTTTTCAGCAAACACCAGTTTTGATTGCGGGGAATAAAGAGCAGCAAAAGAAATATTTGGGCCGTTTACTTGAAGAGCCTCTTGTTGCTGTAAGTTTTTTTTTGAATCTTAGATGCGTAATAATTGTTTGTAATAAATTTAAGGCATATTGTGTCACTGAACCAGGTGCTGGCTCTGATGTGAGTGGTATTAAAACCAGAGCTGAGAAAAAAGGTGATGAATGGATAATTAATGGTCAGAAAATGTGGATTACAAATGGAGGAGTTGCCAATTGGTAATGAGAGGAATATTTAAATGTGTTGTAGATACTCAAGTGGTCTTTTAGGTATTTTGTACTCGCACGGACTAATCCAGATCCAAAATGTCCAGCTGGTAAAGCATTCACTGGATTTATTGTTGAAAGGGAAACTCCTGGACTGACCCCGGGAAGAAAGGTAGAAAATGTGGCTAAGTTTCTTATTAGATTCTATTTTTCATTTCATCTAACAACTTAAATAATCTGTTAATAGAAATTTTGAATTTTGAAGCAATGAAAAGTTAACATTTTCAGTGTCATGTAAAGCTACTACGGAATTTTGGACGCAGTTAGAGAAAAAATGACAACAAATCGAAATAATTTATTAAACTTATATAAAAAGACATATAGCTGGCAAATCGACGCCAAAATTCAAATGTCAAAAAATAAATGTCAAAATTTTTTGACAGGTACAATTTTTTAAACATTTTTTTCCATGTTTCTGGTAATATCTTACTTGAAATTTTTCTCTGGGGCGCGACTTCTGACACCCTGTATAATTAATAAAAACTTACACTATCGGATTTTGTCATTATTTATACAGGGTGACCCAGGGGTGCGTGCTTGCTCAACAACTTTTTTCTATCGAAGTTGTCATGATTTTTTTTTAATAGATAGATACAACAATGAGGCACATTATAAAAATATTTCTATTCATATACAGAGTGTCCCAAATAAGACACCCAACTACGTTCTGTTTTTTTAATAAAAACCCCAATTTTTTATTACATTTCTGGATTCGCCGCTAAATTGTCAATATAACGCACCTTGGTTTCTTAGACTTACCTGGAATAGTTTTTGACTTATGCCAATTTATGTGTCAAAATTACATCGTACAGACCCACGAAAAAATTCATAACTTTAAAATTATTCAAGATAATTTAAAGAACTTTTTTCCAGTTGATTTCTTAAGCTTTAGCGAGTCTTCTGAGATAAAGGCCAACTCGGAAACGATGTTCCATTGCGTACTACGATTTTTTGAAAATGACAAAATACAAATGGCAATAACTCGACTTTTTCAAATACAATACTCTATATTTTATTGCATCATTACATGGAATTTTTTGTCAGCTTTTTGTCGATATAGGATTTATGGAAAATTTATAAAAAAATTTCAAAATAAGTACAAATTTTACAATGTAGACCCCAAAAACCCTACATCGGCAAAAAGTTTATTAAAAATGCCATGTAATGATGCAATAAAATATGTAGTGTTGTATTGAGTTATTGCCATTTGTATTTTGTCATATTAAAAAATTCGTAGTAGGCGATGGAACATCAACTCCGAGTTTGCCTTTTTGTCAAAAGATGTGCTACAGCTTAAGAAATCGACTGGAAAAAAATTGGTTAAGTTGTCTTGAATAGTTTTGAAGTTATGAATTTTTTTGTGTGTCTATGCACGATGCAATTTTGACACAAAAATTAGCATAAGTCAAAAACTGTTGATGGACAGTGAATTTCGTCCAATCAATTTCTGTGAATTCACAAAAATTCACTATAGTCTGTGCTTTATTGTCATGATAATTGACACTCAAATACGTTTTGTCAAATTTAATCAAATTTGAAAAAGCCAGCAGTAAGTGCCTTTAATAAAATAAAAATTATCTCTCTGGTATAAGAAGGTATGTCTCAAAGACGTGTCTCTATACTTTTGGGCATACCAAGGACTACTATTTGAAAGGACAAAGGTAAAAAGTAGCAAGAAGCATCGAGCATTGTGTCAACATGACAAACAAAATTCTGAAACAAGGTTAGGAAAACCTAAAGACTAATTTACACTTTTAATCTGCCAGGGAAATTGGGTGGACGAAATTCACTGTCCATCACTGTAAGTCTAAAAAACCAAGGTGCGTTATATTGAGAATTTAGTTGCGAATCTAGATATGTAATAAAAAATTGTAAAACTGTATATATAATAGATTTCATTTAAATTGGCATAACAGTAGGCCATGATTGTGTAAACTGCGCTTTAAATGTGAAAAAGGCTTTACATATTAAGGAACTAAATTTGTCACTAAAAAAAGTGAGGTTAAGATAGTTAAAATTTTATTTTTCAAAAACCCTCTTTCAAAGGTTTTCAGAGAGAGTTTTTCTCCATAAAAAGTTTCATCCCTTTGTAGGTGTAGTTTTGACACCAAAAACATACACTATTTGCTTTGTAGAAAATACAGACTTTCGTTGATAATAAGTGGCTTCCAGGAAATTTAAAAGACGTTTTATTCACACCGGAGATGAAACACAATTTATTTTCCGTGAAAATTGCAGCCAAAAGGGGTTTGGATTTCGTCATTAAAAATGTAGGACAAAATTGTTAATTTTTAAACAATGGTAAAGTTGTTGCGATCGGAGTGGAAAAAGGAAATCTGTACAAAATGAAGCTTCGCGTACTGAAGCCTGAAAAATCGTGTTTTGCCGTGGATAAAATAATTTGGCTTAATTCAAATTGGTATATTTGATTCCATTAACCTAAAATGCCTAAAACAGGAACAAAAAGAAATTGATTATGTTTTCAAACATACCTTAGCGTGTACTTTAAATCTGGGGTTCTGAAGAGAACTACTTTTAATTATAATTTGAAAAAATAGTAGGAATAACGAACAACCAACGAAAACAGTGAAAAAACGAATACAAATGTCAATCATGTCAGTTAAATAAACCATGTACGTAAGTGATCAAAGAAAAACAAAAACCCCATCAGCTGTTATATTAGGGACATGCACAGGGCTACAAACTTAAATACGAAATTCCATAGCCACCTATTATGCCAATTTCAATGAAATATACTTTATTTAAATTTATTTCGCCTCCTTCTAAACCTCATACTATCTGATTTACAAATATTTTATATAATTCAATTCAATTCAATTTTTGAGTTATTGAACTTTCACAATTTTTCTGTTAATAAACTGGAAATCATTTTTTTGTTAGTTCAATGAGTACATCTAGTTTTTGTTACGTCGATAGAAATAATAAATTCATGTCATAACCTCAAATTAGACATTTTTTCGGCAAATTTCTTTTATATGGGGCTTTTAATTTTTTAGGAATTAAACATGGGTCAAAGGGCTTCCGACACCCGCGGCATCACATTCGAAGACGTCCGAGTCCCTAAAGAAAACGTCCTTGTTGGCGAAGGCGCCGGTTTCAAGATCGCCATGGGCACTTTTGACAAAACCAGACCCCCAGTCGCAGCTGGAGCTGTTGGTTTGGCTCAGAGATGTCTCGATGAAGCCCTAAAATACGCCAACGAACGGAAAACTTTCGGTGTTCCTATTTCACACCACCAAGCAGTTGCCTTTATGTTAGCCGATATGGCAGTGGGAGTTGAGACAGCTCGACTTGCTTGGATGAAATCGGCCTGGAGGGTCGATCGAGGCGAAAGAAACAGTTACGAAGCGGCTATTGCTAAATGTTATTCTGCTGATGTTGCAAACAAGTGTGCCACTGATGCCGTACAAATTTTCGGGGGCAATGGGTTTAATAGCGAATATCCCGTCGAAAAACTCATGAGAGATGCTAAAATTTACCAAATTTATGAAGGAACCTCGCAGATCCAGAGGATTATTATTTCGAGGGCTATTCTCGACAATGCGAAACAGATGAGCTAAGTTTTAAGTTGTTAAGGTTTCATGAAGGAGTGATTTATTATAATTTTAAGATAAACCTATTATAAATATTTTACGAGATATTATTTTGTATAAAAATGAATTTTCAATATACGGATTTACAAGTACTGGCACAAAATTTTGGTTTCATTCCGTAATTAATGAATTAAATAAACACGAAGTGCTGATCGCAAAACCGGATTTTTTGTACTATACATTTAATTAAGAACATTTTAAATCACGAAAGACATAATTTGTTCCTTTTTAAAACTGACAATTTATTTTCTTTGAAAAGATTGTGTAGCACCCTGTATGTAGAATGTAGAAATGAATAAGCAAACACAAGAATTTTTGCAGAAAAATAGAAAACAAACAATAACAAAGACGGCCGATAAGAGCATTTGAAAATTGTAAACCACATTGTTTCAAATTTAGTCATATGTTGTTTTTCTCAGAAGAGTAAAACAAAATAATAAAGTTCCAGAATGGAGGAATATTTTCTTCAAGTTATCTTCGATTGTACTAAACTTTTTCTAGCAATAGAATTAATTTTTAAGGCATTAAAATCATTAAAAATAATCCCAAAAATATTGACTTTTTGTGTCTTCGATGTTGGAATTTCTCCTATTTAATACAGTAAAACACTGGTTTTTTGAATCGCGATTATCCGAAATGCTTAATGTAAGTTTCTACGTTTGTTTATTTTCATTTACTTATGTGTGTTGTTATTTGTATATTTTTAGTTTGCATTGGAAGAAATATACAGAATGAAATAATAGTATATTACATAACGAGCACGGAAAGTGATAAATAACGCACAAGCGGGAAAGTTGCGCACGAGGCGTTAGCCGAGTGCAGGCAATACCGCCAGTGCGTTAGACACTTTCTTGCAAGTTTTGTACACTTTTTTCCTACGACCATAAATATTTTTTTTCTTACGAAGAACATATTTTTTTATAACGATTTATTTTTTATAATGGACACAAAAAAAAATACGTTAAATGAAACAATACAAAACATTTGAGTGTGAATTGTGCGTTAGATTTCTAACACACAGCGCGAAAACAAATCGCACAGGTTTCTGACCTCGTACGATATTGCCAATTTTCGCGCATATGTAATTGTGCGTTGATCTACAGAGTGGTTATAAATGATTTTCATCTAGCCAGCTTTGGAATTTTTTTGCATGTAACTTTATTTGTGCCGCTCTACTTTTTTGAAAGCTCTAGTTCTGTCATTAGTGTCACTTATTAATTAATAAGAAATTGTTTTTAATTAAACTTTTATTGTTTTAACTAATTTCCAATAATAATTGATGTCTATTTTCGAAGTGGACGCTTAGTAAACGGCGATTTTTTTATTTTGAGTTACAACAAGTAGGTACCCCTATTTTCGTAAAGCGGCATTTTTTATTTTACATGGAAAATTCACAGCTGGCTAGGGCGTTCAAATTCAAATTTGGTACCTTTATATGTACATCTAAACAAATGTCAAATAACAAAATTTTTAATCAGGGGCGTCCTAAACGGTAAAACAAATTTAATTTTTAATTTTTATGGTCTGTAACATAAATTTTTAAACCGATTTTTACTCAAAATCCGTAAATTGTATCGGAAAAACACAAAACACCTTTTTCATGAAAAACTATGAAATTTTGTTGCTGAAAGTGGCAAGAAACCACAGGCAAAATAGTTAGAATAAATTTTTACCCTAATCCCATCTAGTTTAGGAAGCCCCTAATTAAAAATTTCAACATTTTATTTTTGTACTTGTTTAGATGTATAAAAGTTATCATCTGTACCAAATTTTGAAATTTTTTTCTAAAATGATTTCGGAAATATTGAAAAAAAACTATTAAAAGACGCACCCTTTGCGTAGCATTTTTCGATATATGTTCATAGAAAACTTCTGTTTTACAAATGAGTATTCTATCTCCTATTTAAATTTGTAACAATAAAAGCATTAAAAATTTATTTTATTTTTTGTTACTTTTGTGAGTTAATTTGTATTTTTTGTGTTTAATTAGGATCTCTTATTTTAATTTAAAATAAAAACGTGTACTTAGGGATTTTTTATTTTTAATCCGCTTTCTTTTATTTCATTTTCATGGACCAACAAGAAACCCCCCCCCGAAATAAAATCCTGGTTACGGCCCTGGAAACAGAAAAACATGCTGCTTGATTACATATCCACCTGTGAGAAGAAAAGATACACTTTTCTCCCTTGTAATACAAATATCAATTTTTTTTTTACCGAATTATTATCACATCGAAAACTTCGCCTTATCCGAATTTTTAGTTATCCACACATTACGGGTTTGCATGTTAATCCATACACCTATTTATCCGAAAACAAACTCTTTTTTATTTTCGGGATTGTTAATGATATTTAAAGTGTCCATTCTATTGTTGGAAAAACTGAAGGAACAAGAATCTGAAAATTTTATTTATTTTTGTCATTGTGTCAAAAGAGAATAATTTGGTTGGACTTACTTAAATAGCTATTCTAAAACGCCCATATTTTATTACCCATATTTTATTGCAGAATCCTATAATAAAAAAATTAAATATAGAAAATTTATAGGTACCTAATAGAAAAAAAAAATTTCTTAGGTCCTGTTCTCTCAAAGTTGCCTATTTAAAAATAGCCGAAACATGTAGCAAGTATAAAAATAAACTTTGAGTGAACATAACTTAAGAAAATATTTTTTCCCTTTATTATAACCAAAAAATTTCTCACAAAAATGGATCACTCAATAAAAGAAAAAATTTACACATGACTTTCTGGCAATATCGCAAGTTTATTTTAGGTTACAAAGTTTTGAATTATAATAGAAAAATTTGTGTAACAAATGGACCTTACTGACTTTAAAGCCAAAGGAGGTAGGTATAGGTATTAACTTACACAGAAAAAAATATGGAACGTGACAAAATTACAAGTACAAGTTTCTTGTTATAGTATGTACTATTTTCGTAAGTGTTGTTAGTTTTTTGTTTACTAGTTTCAGACAATTATCGTAATTTTAATTTTTATAACGAATGAGAGATAAAAAATGTGTTATTATGATTTTTAAAGAATTTGTTATAATTGTTAAAATGTTTTATTTAAAATTTGTAAATAAATACAAAACCAAGAATTGAGAAGATTAAAAAAACTGTACTAGGAGTGTCTACAATCATACATACTTATTTTATTTTTAACTAAATAACAAATCTAGTCATTTAATCATTTTGTCGGTACTTTTGAGTTAAATTGTGATCCGAGCAGTTTGAAGAGACATTTTTGTGTAATTCTAATAATAATGTTATGAAAATGAAAACTTTAATTAGAAGTTTAGTTTACCTTCAACAACTAAAATATATCCATTTCTTTATTATCATTTATTATATTTATCACTCACTATGCAATACCTACATAGGTAGACAGAAATAAAATGTTTTGAAATGAATCAAAATTTAAATCACATTTTCAATAATTGATTGAAAAAATAAGTAAAATTAAATTAAAAATGTTAATCAATGTTCGTAATAATCACAGTAGAAGTACCTAAGTAATAATTCACAGTTTTTGGTTTTGTGGAAACTGTAGAGGTACTTGGTTTGTGATGTTTGTTAGAAAAAAATCTGTTTACTTACCTGTTCCAGTTTATTAAAACTGATAGTTCACTTTGCAACAATTACTAGAGTTTGTTGCTAGTTTATGATTGTTATTACCTTCAATTTATTTGATGAAAGCTATTAATTATTGGTAGGTATTTATTTTAGCGTAGTTAGCATATTACGACTAATATTGTATAGTTTTACAAACCAGAAATGAATGATATAATTAACAAAATATGTATTTAATTATGTATCAAATTATAGAAAGAATTTTATGTAGGTTTTTTATACTTACTAGAAANAGATTTGGTTTATTAATTATAATGTATCATTTAATTTGCATTTTGTTTTTAATTTTTTTCACTCAAATTGACAATTTTTACCACTGAAATTTATAAAATACTGACATGACAGAAATAAATAAATAAATCATTGTTTGCCCCGTTATTTTCCAAAATTTCTTTCTAACAAAAAAAGTAGAAGATTTTGATTGTGTTACGACTTTTGTTAGGTATTGAATTAAATTTCTTACTGAAATGAAGTTGGCAACTTTGACATTCAAACCCAAATGTCACACTTTTATAGTCAATTGTCATTCATTTCCGAGGGGTGGTAACAGGTTTTGCCGTCACCTGAGACAATCTAATATTAGCAATAATTCGATATTGCCAACTTAAGTTAAAAGTCATAGGTCACTTTAATCAGAAATATTTGAAAGCATGGTAATAAATATTCTGTCCAAAGGATTTAAAATATAATTGCATTTTTTTTAAATCCATTTTACTGTGCTTTGTTGTTGTGGTCACTTTGTCATTTTGTAGTAAATTGTAATGAAAGCAATAAGTTCTGAAGAAAACTGTTAGGACATTGTAAATTGTAAATACAAATGGGTGAAATACAAAACAGGACCAGCATGGAAAAGCAAACAAAAGCAATATTAGCGCTCCTCGTAAAATAACTCAAAGTTTCTGCAACACTTTTGACTTGATTCGAAGTTGGCGAACTCAACTTTCGATTTCATTATTGCCGCCGAAATTCAAAGTCACGAGCGCATGCGTGTGAGTCGTGATAGTTTTAATTCTCATTCAAGTATCAAATTTTAAAATAAATTTAATGAATTCATGCAAACGGCCGATTGTTGGCACGATGATTGAATTCGAATTGGCATTATGCAATCCGAAGAGACGTAACAGAATTTATAATCAGCTTTGACCTACTTAAATCGTGAAAGTCGGTTGCACCGGAATAGCGCATTATCGCCGATTCTTGTCTGGATTACTACCTGAAAAAAACCGTTTTAATTAATAACGAGGGATGGATGGTGTTGAGAGGGTTGTGGCGGGTGTTGGGCGCCAATGTGTGTTTTTGGTACGTTATGAACACGGTTGCTGTCTTGAGTCGACAGTCATGTCTGTCTGAATGCAAAGTGTAAGCGAAGTGGCCTACAGACCTACATTTCGTCAACGTTCGATTTTTAAATCGCTCAAAGAAATAGATATTTGTGAAACCTTGGCGTGTCTTTGAAGGTC